CACACACACACTACATACACTCCCCACACACACACACTACATACACTCCCCCACACACACACACTACATACACTCCCCTCCACACACACACTACATTCACTCCCCACACACACACACTACATACACTCCCCCACACACACACACTACATACACTCCCCTCCACGCACACACTACATACACTCCCCCCACACACACACTAGATACACTCCCCCCACACACACACTACATACACTCCCCTCCACACACACACTACATACACTCCCCCCACACACACACTACATACACTCCCCACACACTACATACACTCCCCCCCACACACACACTACATACACTCCCCCACACACACACACTACACACTACATACACTCCCCCCCACACACACACTACATACACTCCCCCCCACACACACAGTACATACACTCCCCCCCACACACACAGTACATACACTCCCCTCCACACACACACTACATACACTCCCCCCCACACACACACTACATACACTCCCCTCCACACACAGACCCACACACCCACACTCCCCTCACATCCACACTCCCCTCACACACACCACATACACACATTACACATTCCCCTACACACCCACACTCCCCTCACACACCACACACACACATTACATACACTTCCCCTGCACACACTCCCCTTACACACTATGCACACGCCCCACACACACATTACACACACTTCCCCTACACACACCCACACACACTACACACACTCCTCTCACATATACATACACTACACACTTCCCTCATGCACACACTACACACCACCCACACTGCCTCCCACACACACTACACACACCCACTCTCCCACACACACCTACCACCCACATTTACACACACTACACACCACCCACACACTCCTACACACACATCACCCACTCTTCCACACACACACCTACCACCCACACTCACACACACACTACACACCACCCACACTCACTCCCACACACACTACACACCACCCACACTCACTCCCACACACATTACACACCACCCACACTCCCACACACACACACACTACACACCACCCACACTCCCTCACACATACTACACACCACCCACACTCCCACACACAGTACACACCACCCACACTCCCTCACACTACACACCACCCACACTCCCTCACACAGTACACACCACCCACACTCCCTCACACTACACACCACCCACACTCCCACATGCACACCTACCACCCACACTCCCTCACACTACACACCACCCACACTCCCTCACACTACACACCACCCACACTCGCCCACGCATACCTACCACCCACACTCCCTCACACTACACACCACCCACACTCCCACATGCACACCTACCACCCACACTCCCACACATACACACCACCCACACTCCTTCACGCTACACACCACCCACACTCCCTCACACTACACACCACCCACACTCCCACACGCACACCTACCACCCACACTCCCACACACATACACACTCCCCTCACACACTACACACTCCCCGCACACACACATTCCACACACACACCCCACACATTACACACACTCCCGTCACGCACACACCCCACACACTACACATAGTCCCCTCACACACACTACACACCACACTCCTTGACACACACACACTCTCCCTACACACATCCACACACCCCTACCCCTCAGTGCGCGTGCGCACACACACACCCATTCACCTACATACACACACACACATTAACTCACCACACATACACACCCACCCCACACCCCATACATAGACACTCCCCACACACCCCACACACATAAGCTGTAAAGCAGTGGGACCCTCACATGTGAGACGCCCACATAAGTGCCCCTGAGAGGCAGCCGCATCTCAACACCGCGGACCCTAATGACCTGGCTCCCTCCCCTGCGTGTCCCTCCAGAGGAAGCCTGGACTTTGTCACGCGCACAATCCGTCACCGCATGATTGTGTCTAAACTCCTTGGCTTGGCATTCGAGGCCCTTCCTGGCACAGCTCAAGCCTCGCATCCCGGCAGAGCCCAAGCCTCCCTTGCATTCACCCGCTCAGCACTCCGTGGGCATCTCTGTGCACCGTATAGTTACTGAGCACCGAGCGGGAGTCGCATGCAATCCCTCCCTACAAAGAGCCCACGGGCTAGTAAGGGAGGCAGACCCGTGCACAGGCACTCATCACACACCGGGCGGGCACCTGATGGCAGGGTGGGCCCACCACCCAAGGGGAGTGTGGCCGCCGAGGGCTTCTGATGGTAGCTGGCCTTGTTTCACTTAATCCCCGTGGCCACCCTATGGGGAGGGACCGTGAGCAGGGTTGTGAGAACGCTTGAGCCCCCCGGGTGGGGGACGAGGTGGGGAGGGTGCGCCACACCGAGAGGTGACAGTGCTCGTAGCTGCCGTGCCCATGACGGGGCTGGAGAAGGGCTCTGAGCAGAGGCCGACCCATGACTTCCAGCCTGAGCCTGACCCCTCCTCTGCAACAGACCTGCCCCTCCTCAACATGCCAGGCCTGGCCCAGCCCTTCCCTTCTGTGGGGTACGTAGGAAGAAGAGAGGTGCCACTTCTGTCTTCCCTCCACACCAGAGCACAGTCCAGCCCAGCCTGGCCCCTTCCAGCTCCTCCCCAAAGCACATGCTTCATCCCGTCTGTTCCAGTTTTTGCAGATGCTGGTCTGTTCTGGAACCCTTGCTGGGCCAGGACTTATTTATGGATCAGGGCTGGAGGGGGCCTGAAGGGCAGGTGTACCGTGTGGCTGGCCTCGTCTCGACCCCCATTCCTGGCTCCCATCTGTCTTTGCCCTGTCTTTTGGTCCCTTGGTCCTCACACTTTCTTTCTTTCTTTCTCTGCGTGTCTCTGTCTTCACTCTCTGGTTGACTGTGTGCAGCTGCGGAAGGTGAGGCTCTGCCCTTCACCCGCTTGATGGTCCTGGATGAGCCATTTAGGCCCAGTTGCCGTTCTCCCACCTGGGAAATGGGGTCGATAGCACCTACCTTGCAGGGTGCCCTGGAAGATTAAGTTACAAATAATACAGTGAGGCTCCTGGCCCACAATAAATGGTAGCTGTTGGTGTGTTCTCTCTCTCTTTCTGTCCCTCCTCCCCCCACCCACTTTCCCTCTCCCCTCTCTCTTGGCCCCCTTCTTCTGCTGAGGAGTTGAAAACCCTCTGCCCATTCCCCCACCCCGCCTTCGGTCCACCCCCATTTTCTTTCTTCTCTCTGTTTCTCTGCTTAAGTGAATCAGAACACAGAACTGGTTTGTTCTTTGTTAAATCTATCAAATGCCTTTACGTTTCCCCGTTGTCAATTGTCAAAGCCTAGGAATGAAGCGTTTTCTGTCTTGCATCTGCGGTGAAGTGTTCCTCGGGCAACCTGCCTTCCTCCTGGGACGGCCCTGGGTGGAGAGACCTCTGGGCTCAGCCACAGCCTGTGAGGCCCTGCTCCTTGGCTGGCCCACTGTCCAGCAGGCAGGGGTCACCAGGGCAGAGAGGGGGTGTTGCGACGCAATTCTTCTCTTTCCTGCTCCTTTGAACTCCATTTATCCCAATTTGCTAAATTTAAACTCAGTTTTTCCAGAGTGGCTCTACTTGAGGTCTTAGCCAGCTAAATTAAGGTTTTTCCTTCTCTTTCCCATGGCCTTTTATGAAGCTACCCAGCATTAATTATCATGTTTGTCACTGGGTAATAAAAACCTCTGAACTCCCTGCCACCAGATTATCTTTGTAAAGAAATGTAACTCACTTACAGTTAATAACCAGAGGCCCCGCCGTCCCCAGCCTGCTAAGGCGAGGTGATTTATAGCGCCCGCCGGATGAGCCCATGCACTTTTGTGCAGGACGAGTGCGCTCTAGACAGCCCGGATTTCCTCCGAGTCGCAGGCTGTGTCTGCCTTGCAGTCCCCGTTCCAGGTTCGGTGGCTGCTGGCGAGATGCCCACTTCCTACCCGTACAGGCACCAGGCCCCTGAGGCCAGGCGGGTGTGCGAGGCCCTGCCCCAGGAGAGCTGGCGGCAGATGGAGTTAATGTTCTTGTCCTCTTTCCCCTCACAGACCACGTCTCGGTTGGAGGACTCGGGGACAGTTTTTATGAATATTTGATCAAATCCTGGTTGATGTCGGGCAAGACAGATATGGAGGCTAAAAATATGTACTACGAAGCCTTGGAGGTAAGACAAGCACTGGATTATTCACAGGCCGCTGGTCACCAGCCTCTGGCTCTCTCACAGGCCCCTGAGTGCTGGGGCTGCGGGGCCAGATGGGCTGAGGCTTGCTCCCACCCCCTGCAGTGAACTGGTGAGAAGATTGACAGGACATCCCCCTCCCAGCCAGGCATTTTACACCCCTGCGACCCTCCCACATGCTCTAAGACGGAGGCTGTGTCAGATGCAAAACCCAAGCTCAGGGAGGTGAAGTCATGTGTCCGAGGTCTCCTCGGAAGTGACCATCAGTCTGATTCAGAAACCGCCACCTGCTCGGTGTCTGTGCTTCGGCTGATGTGTCAGAGCCCAGAATGCAGCCAGACTGGGGGCTGGCACCCCCAAGGGTGGCTGCCAGAGTGCGACCCTCAGCCGTGTCTTCCTTGGACAACAGAGGTGACAGGAGAAGTATGTCCAAGCTGGAAGAGGCCTCCTTCAGTGGAGCATCCAGTTTTGCTCCTTCTCTTTATGTGGATGGAAACCAAGGCCTAGAGAGGGGAAGGCACTTGCCCAAGGCCGCACAGCACAGAGCTGGCCAAGCTGGCACCACTGGTGGTCTGTCCACGGGGTGTGGAATGAACGAGGGCTGGAAGGCTGAGGTGAGTCCCTCCAAAGAGGAGAGACCAGGACAGAAGAGGGAAGCAGTTAGCTTGAGCCATTGGGAAGAGGGCTAGGGAATCCCACGACTCAACAGATACCTCGGAGCCCAACTAAGGAAAAGGCACTGGGCCGGTTCTGGGCCTCAGTTTCCCCTTAAAGCAAGTTGAGCAAGTTGGATCTACTCTGCCACCACCTTGTTCTACACTACCTCCTTATTTCCTCTAAACCGGCTTCCCCTCTGCCCTGCTCTCTGAATGCTGTGTGGAGAACAGAAGCCAGAAGAGCTGGACATGCACATCCCTCTCCTCTCTGGCCCCCCTTAGCACCTGGAATAAATCCAACTCCTCTCCTTTACCCATCGGGTCCGCCTTCCCTGGGCCCTGCTGATCACCCTGACTTCACGCCTGCCTCTCTGCCCTGTGCTGTCTGGGCCCTGGCACCAGTCTTCCTGCTCTTCCTCAGACACCCCAGGCGACTCCCACCTCAGGACCTTTGTACTTGCTGTCCCCTCTGCCTGGAATATCATTCCAATGGCTAGGTCCCACTCACTAGTCAACTGTCAATTCAGATGCCACTGAAACTACCATTCCCAGCCTATCACATACCCAGGCTTATTCTCTTCACCTTCATCACCCTCTACAATTATCACAGGCATGTATTTGTTTACTTGCTCATTCTCTATCTTCCCCAAATAGAATGTCAGTTATCTGGGATCAGAGATCTTGTCTGCTCCTAAAACTGCCTGGCACATAGCAGGCACATGGTAACTGTTTTGTGAACAAATGAATGAATGCATGCATGCATGAATGCTGAAAGGATGGATGGAGGGAAGGATAGATGGATGGAGGGAAGGATGGATGGATGGATGGAGGGAAGGATGGATGGAGGGAAGGATGGATGGATGGTGGGAAGGATGGATGGATGGGGGGAAGGATGGATGGATGGAGGGAAGGATGGATGGATGGAGGGAAGGATGGATGGAGGGAAAGATGGATGGATGGAGGGAAGGATGGATGGATGGAGGGAAGGATGGATGGAGGGAAAGATGGATGGATGGTGGGAAGGATGGATGGATGGTGGGATGGATGGATGGAGGGAAGGATGGATGGATGGAGGGAAGGATGGATGGAGGATGGATGGATGGAGGGAAGGATGGATGGAGGGAAAGATGGATGGATGAAGGGAAAGATGGATGGATGGAGGGAAGGATGGATGGAGGGAAGGATGGATGGGTGAGTAGATAGATGGGTGGGTGGGTGTGGGCAGTTGGATGGATGGATAGATGGTCTCTGACTACCCTCTGATCACAGGAATCTGGCCAGGAATGGTGGTGCTTAAAAGACACACATTGAAACGGACTGCTAGAGCCCTGGACCCTTTAAACCGTAGGCTCAGCAATGAGTTTTCCCTGCCCAGCTCCCTGGCACAAGACCTCCGTCATGAAGCAGCTTCTGGGACTATAGTCCCATCTCAGTCTGAGTCCCAGCCTTGTTCACTCCGGTCTTTGGCTGAGCTCAGACCAGAGCCCCGGTCAGAGAATCAGTGTGCAGCTGGTGGTGGCCAGAGTGTGCTGCCCAGAGGCCCTTTATGCCTTCTCTTGCAGAGTAAACATAAAGTTAATGAGCAGCCAGGCTCCCTGCCCTCAGGGCACACTGTAGTTGAGGCTTCAAGGGAAGAAGTGGCCATGAATTATTTAAGGCAACTCGGAGCACTTGATTTTGTAGGAGAGAACTTTGAATAGAAGAGGCTTTGCTCTCTGCATTTGATCTTCCCAGTGAAGAGCCTGGAGCGTCTTTGACCCTGGGTGAAGGCTGGGCCTCTGGCAAGTTTGGGGTTTTGAAGAATCTTCTGGTGCTTCTCAACCATGTTGGCATGTTAAAATCACCTAGGGAGCTGCAAAGTCCTGATGTTCAGACTGCACACCTGACTCAGAACCTCTGGACATGGGGCCCGGGCCACACATGAACCTCCTTGGGATTTCCGTGTGTAGTCAGGGTTGGGAATCACTGACCAAAGACTTTCACCCCTGCCTGTACCTTAGGAACACCTGGAGAGCTTTAAAAATCCCATGTCTAGCCTCACCCCAGGCCAATTAAATCCCAATCTGAGCTTTTTAAAAAGTTCCTTCCACGGCCGGGCAATGTGGCTCACACCTGTAATCCCAGCACTTTGGGAGGCCGAGGCGGGCAGATCACGAGGTCAGGAGATCCAGACCATCCTGGCTGACACGGTGAAACCCCGTCTCTACCAAAAAGACAGAAAATTAGCCGGGCGTGGTGGTGGGCACCTGTAGTCCCAGCTAATCGGGAGGCTGAGGCAGGAGAATGGTGTGAACCCGGGAGGCGGAGCTTGCAGGGAGCCGAGATCTGGCCACTGCACTCCAGCCTGGGCGACAGAGCGAGACTCCGTCTCAAAAAAAAAAAAAAAGAAAAAAGAAAAAAAAGAAAAGTTCCTTCCACAATTCTGTTGTGCACCTGGGGTCAGAAAACCACCAGGTTAGACCAGTGTCCAGCTGGGGTGGGCCTGGGAAGGTCAGACAGTTCAGACTGGGCACACCTCTGAGTGTCACGGCAGGAGACAAGAAGAACAGGGAGAGCTTTGGTCACTTTGGCCTCCTCTGGGCCAGTGCTGTAAGTACCTCATCTTCTTTAGCCCCCATCTTACAGATGATGAAACTGAGGGTCAGAAAGGCCCAAGGTCCAGATAGCAGCAGGTGTCAGAGCGAGGACACAAATATGGGTCCAACTCCAGATCCAGTGGGCTGGCCTCTGCTTACCAGCGGCCAAGTCACAGAGGGGCCTGGCTTGCCTGAAACCCCTCCCACGAGTGCTCAGATGGGGCTCCTGCAGGCGGCAAAGGAAGGAACAGCCAGTGCCAGGCACTGAGCCAGGCTTCGAATATCCTGTTCTTTAATCCTCACAACCGATCCAGGAATCATTATTCCCATTTTATAGATGAGCAAAGTGAGTCTTCAGTAAAGTGAAATAACTTGCCCAAAGTTATCTAGCTCCTAAATCGCAGAGCTGAGAATCAAACCCAGGCCCCTCACCACTCTGGGCTCACTGCCTATGGGTTAGCCCTGCTCTGCAAGGAACAGTACAAATATTTTTGTTAATACTTTAAAAAAATAAACCCTGGTCTTGCACCCCAGTTAGCTCCTTGCACCTCTGCTTGCTGTGATTTAAACCTTTTACCAGTCGTCTGCCAGCCTGCGCTGTCTTGTGTTTTGTTTTAAAAAGCCTTGTTTTTTATCTTTGCATCTGCGTGTCTCAGTTGTGTCTTCAAAGAGGCACTGGTTTATAATTTCCTCTTGACCGCAATTACTTAGCTTGGGGCCAACCCGCAGTGGAAATAACCTGTGGGAGGCGGTCTGGAAGGTGCAGATGCCAGCTCTGGTGTGTGGCATCCTGAGGTGTCCCTCAGATGTCTGTGTTCTCTCCAAAGTGTTGACAACTGGTGACTCTGACCCAGGTTTCTGAGCCCTGACACTCCTCCCCTGCGCCACACACTTAGTGCCGCCGAGCAGCTGCCGGGGACATGGCTCTGCCCAGGAGCCAGGCCAGGCCCAGAGCAGACCCCCGCCTGCAGCCCGGCTGCTCTGCAGGTGTCCTCAGCACTCCCCCATGTGGAGCAGGTGCCCTGGCATGTCACATTGTCAGCGCTTCTCCATCTGCCACTCAGTGTGGGTCCTGCAGCCAGCCCACCAGCCCTGGGCCCTGACAGGAGAGAAAAAAGAAAAAACAGACCCAGGAGTGAGCGAATGTTCCTTGAGCATCTCCTGTGTGTCGGGCACTGGCTGGAGGCTGCTGGTGATGGCTTCTGCTGTCACACGGCACTCAGGGTCTGAGAGAGGGACAGATACACAACAGAAACATACGCCAAGTAGGAATTGCACCATGTAGAAGGGTGACGGGCCCATAGTAATGGCAGTGGCATTGCTGGTTTAAATTGCATTATTCTCTCCAAGGAAGTGACATTCTGGAGGAGGTGGAGTTAGCAGAGTCAGGGCTGGAGCATGCAGGGAGGAGGCACAGCACCAGCCAAGCCCCGAAGCAGGAAGAAAAATGCAGCCTTCAAGAATGCCACCTTTGCAGAGAGACTTTCCCAGACCTCACTCTGCAAAGTACAGCACTGCCCCCACCCCAGCTCTTTGTTTTGTTTTGTTTTTGTTTTTGTTTTTGAGACAGAGTCTCACTTTGTTTCCCAGGATGGAGTGCAGTTAGTAGAGATGGGTTTTTGCCATGTTGCCCAGGCTGGTTTCAAACTACTGGGCTCAAGTGATTCATCTACCTCAGCCTCCCAAAGTGTTGGGATTACGGCATGAGTCACTGTGTCCAGCCCCTCCCCGCCTCCCCCTGCATTTTTTAGTCTCGTTCTCTCACTTTGTTTTATTCAAAATGCTGATCACAAATTGTACCTCTGGGCCAATTGTGGTGACACACACCTGTAATCTCAACACTTTGGGAGGCCTAGGTGGGTGGATCCCCTGAGGTCAGGAGTTCAAGACCAGCCTGGCCAACATAGTGAAACCCTGTCTTTACTAAAAATATAAAAAATTGCTGGGGGTGGTGGCACACGCCTATATAATCCCAGCTACTTGGGAGGCTGAGGCACGAGAATGGTTTGAACCTGGGAGGCGGAGGTTGCAGTGAGCCAAGATGGTGCCACTGCACTTCAGCCTGGGTGACAGAGTCTAAGACTGTGTTTCAAAACAAAACAAATTGCGCCTCTCGTGTACATTTGGTTTTGTTGGGAATTCCCTGCACTAATGGGCGAGCTCCCTGAGGCAGAGTCCAGGCTCCTCTCCTGCACACCTGTAGCCGCAGTACCTAGCACAGCACTGACACCAAGGAAATATTACATGGCTCCCGGAATATTGGAAGCCAGGAGGGTACCTGAGTGAAAAGAGGCCGGTGTGGGTGAGGTAGGGTGTGAGAAGGGAGGGGCAGGAGACAGACTAGAGAGGAATCATAGGGGCTAGTAATTACTGGGGACTCGCTCTGTGCTGGGAAATAGGCCAAGCCCTGCAGTTGTATCTCATTTAATTCTCACAACCCTTTGAGGCAGTTAATGCTCTTATCCCCAGTTTACACGTTAGGAAACTGAGGCACAGAGAGAACATACAACCTGCCCAGTGTCACACAGCGTGGAACTGGTGGAGATGGGATTTGAACCTGACGAGTCTGTGCCCCAGAGCCATGTCCATAGCATCAGGTCCACCCTCAGGGTCCAGATCGTGGAGTCTTGGCGGCCTCTCTGGTCTTTTCACATAAGGGCACTTGGAAACCACTGCAGGTTCTAAGCAGGCAGATGATATGATCCGGTGTGTTAATTGCAGAGTACAGAGAGCCCCTGGAGAGTAGATTGGAGGGGTGAGAGTGGAGGCAGAGGCCTGGCAAGGGCCCCAGAGGACCCCAGCCATGGGTCAGGCCCCATCAGCCCATGGAGTCTGGTCTCAAGGCTGTGTGAGCAGCTTCCTTCCTCCCCTGGGTCCCCAGGGCTCCTGGGACTGACAGCAGTGTGACCCCCTCATGTCCCCGACATCCCAGAGTCTTTACAACAGCATCACCTCCCTTCCCACCAAAAGGCATGGCCATCGGGTAGAGGAAGAAGCAGAGCTCTAGACAATGTGGGGTATTGTTTCTAGGCTGGTGTGGCTGCGTGGCCTGGGACAAGCTGCCCCTCCCATTTGTCTGTGTAGGGCGCTACAGCCCAGGTGCCTGGCTTGCTGTAGGCATTAAATGAGGAAATGTGTGACAAAATACCGTAGAGAGCAGCTCTTAATTTTCTGCAGGTTCTTTTTGAGAAACTGAGAAGAATAGATGAACACTCTTCCCATAAAGATGCACATCCACTAAAAAGTGTTGGGTGCAGTTTTAAGGGCCTGGACCCCTGAAGCCTGTCCACAGGCCCACTGGATTTCTGGTTAAGATCAAACAGAGGACATAATGGAGGAGGAGGAGGTTCACCTTAAAATATTTTTTAATGTTTTTTAAAACGTGGAAGATTTTTTAAAGACTGAGAGACTTGCCCTGGGGAGCTGCCGTGTGTCTGAGCCTCCCAGTGAATAGCAGCCCCTCCTGTGCCCTGGCAGGCATCTTGACCAGCAGAAATCAGTGGGCCTCCTTTGCCTGGGATGGAGGGCTTGGCAGAGCTGCCCTTGCTACTGTCTCCAAAATGTTCATTTTCCATCCTTTCCCCCCCTTCTCTGTGCCCTCCCACGCCCCTTCTCCCTGCCCAATCCCCACCTTGCTCCCAGGCGATAGAGACCTACTTGCTGAATGTCTCTCCCGGGGGGCTGACCTACATCGCCGAGTGGCGAGGGGGGATTCTGGACCACAAGATGGGGCACCTGGCCTGTTTCTCCGGGGGCATGATCGCCCTTGGCGCCGAGGATGCCAAGGAAGAAAAGAGGGCCCACTACCGAGAGCTCGCAGCCCAGATCACCAAGACGTGCCACGAGTCATACGCCCGCTCAGGTAACCCTGCAAGGGGAAGGGGCAGCAGGAGAGACTGAGGCTAGACACCAGGAAGAACTGGGAAGACCAGCAGCAGTGAGTCAAGGGAGCACATGGCCTTAGGGAAGCCTTCCGTTAGAACTTAGGTAGAATTTGAGAGATGTGCTGTCCAGGCTCCGAGACTGTACCCTGAATGAAAGGGAAACTAGTACAGAAGCAGGAAGCACTTTGCTTGTACCCGATGCTCTTCCGCCCTTGACACACATCATCACTGAACCTCACCACACAGATGAGGAAACTGAGGCTCAGAAATTACTTGGCCAAGGTCCCTTGAGAGGGGCATGGAGTAAAGGATCCTCCAGCTCTGGAGGCAGAAACGGCAGCTTCCTGAGCCCAGCACATGTCCCACCCTGAGTCCCATGCCTTCGAATGTGCTTCTGCCTTTCCCCCGGCACCCTCCTCAGAGGGGGTCTCACCGCCTCCTGCTCCCACCTGTTTAGTCGCCGTCTTTGACCCGTGACCACCGGAAAGCCTGAGAGCTTGGTCCTCCCCACCCACCACTCACCACTGAATTGTCAGATGCTAGAGTCAGAGGTCACATTTGAGAGCCTGAGCCTGGCTCCTCATTCTACACAGAGAAGCGGAGTCAGCCCAGAGGGGGAAGTGACTTAGCCAAAGTCACACTACAGATAAGGAATTGATCCTGGGCTGGAACCCAGGCCTTCTGATGCCTGGTTCCACCCCGTGTGCAAACTACACCCCTCAGAAAAATCCCCAGCCCCCATGTGGTCCCAGGAGACGCCCGCTGCTCCCAGTGGTAATCCCAGTGTTGGCTGGAGGGGACGAGCCAAGATTTGCAGTAAAAATCCCAGGCTCAAGTGCCGCTCTGCCACTGCCAGCTGGGCAGCCTCTGTTTTCTTATCTGTTCGATGGAAATAATGACACAGGTTTCAGAGTGAGGCACAGGGTCCCATGAGAAAGTACTTTGGCAGCCGCCTTCTGCCAGCAGCACTGCAGCCACTTGCTGACGGTCCACCGCGATGTGTCTGTGCCCGCCCCAGCTGAATGGGGTCTCCTGGAGCTGTTTCCAGGAAGTCAGAGATTCGCAATGGGTCTTTAAAACTGGTCGTCCATTCTCTTCAAAGAGCTCACTCTGCCAGGGCCATAAACAAATAACAAATCTCAGGAATAATAAAAAGCTCACTATTTGTCTGAGACAATCAGCCCAGACCATAAAAGACAGCCGCTTAATAGAGCATATTGTTCCAGCCAGCCTCGGCTTGTCCCGTGGATGCCTGCAGCAGCGGCTCCTGCCTTCACCCCACTAGCGACTTGGCAAAACGACTGTTTTCTGATGGCCAGGAGCTGCTACGCCGTTTGAAAAGATTCGAGAGGCTAGGGTCTAGCTAATTCCTCTTCCCCGAAGCCCTCTGTGGAAGAGTGGAAGTCCTGCAAACCTCTAGCCCCTGCCTCTAGAGTCAAAGCAACCCGGGGCCTCTCAAGGTTTTGAACCCTGGTGGGAGGGAAGAGGGCTCACATTAGGAATGGAGCTGGGGACTCGGGTGACCTGGACAGGAGGGACAGGCATTAAAGGTTGAAGGATCTGGCCCTTATACCCTACATGTTGGGCCTCTGAGGGTTAGACCCAGGAGGGAAAGAGCACCACTCTAGGAGAGGCATCAGACACATCCAGGGTCAAGTCCCAGCTCAGCCACAACTCGCTGTGTTACCTTGGGCAAATTACTTAGCCTCCCTGATCCTCAGTTTCCGCCTGCCTGAGAGGGATAGTAGCAATTACTTTACTAAAGAACCATGTTTTAAGAATTGAAATAGTGTATTAAAGCACCCAGCACAGCCTTTGAAATCATAAGCGGAGACTGCAGAGGTGGTTACAATTATGGCCATACAACAAGAATGACAGCACATTGCCCCAAAACAAAACAGTGACAATAACAGAACCCAGGCTTCCTCGGGCTTTCCTTCCTCAGCTCCCTTTGTGGAAGTAGGTGCATTCCTGGGCAATCTTCCCTCCATTTCCACCTCAGCTGTTCCCAAACTCTAGAAGTTCTGGAGGTGTTAAAAGCAGTTTTCTAAGAGAAAGGGTTCGGTGGAGAAGCCTCATTGCATATTAGCATATTAAAGGATCTGATAAATCCTGCAGATGGGAGACTCACTTTGTTTAACCCTCGGTTCCCCAGATGTGTTGAAACCCGAAACCCTCTTGGCTGAGGTCTGGCTAACCTCTTGCAGAGCTATTGCCTCATAGTACACAGTCAATGGAACCCCGCCCAAACCTTCACCTACCCAGACTGCTGAGTAGCTCATCTGGACTCTGAGTCCAAAGCTGCTCACATTTCGAGTCCCCGAGGATCTTGTTTTGTCCAGCCCAGTTAAAGAGGGAAGCTGGGCATCTGCCCGATGCAGCCTTACGCAGCAGTCCAGGCAGGGGCGCCCCACACCCACACACCCCTGACATCACCCTGGCCGTGGGCTCGAGGCAACTGACATCTCTCCTGGATCCCGAAAAGCAGGAGGTGGGAGGACTGACCTGGGCCTCTGCTTGGCTGTTTCCCCAGACACCAAACTCGGGCCCGAGGCCTTCTGGTTTAACTCCGGCAGAGAGGCCATAGCCACCCAGCTGAGCGAGAGCTACTACATCCTCCGGCCAGAGGTGGTGGAGAGCTACATGTACCTGTGGCGACAGACCCACAACCCCATCTACAGGGAGTGGGGCTGGGAGGTGGTGCTGGTGAGTGGGCCCCAGGGATGGGCAGCCAGGTGCCAGATGCCCCCTGAGAATTCACAGACAGGCTGGGTGCTAGGTGTCCTGGCTTGGGCACGGAGTGGAAGTCCAAGCCACACTGACCTCTGGCCACAGTTCAGAGCGCAAAGGGTCAAGGTGATGGTTACAGAGCCAAGAGTTCCCAGCTGGGCAAAGTTGTCCTGAGACAGGACAGGGCAGACTTGTGAAGAGGGTTCTGAGTGCCCATGGCCTTGGGGCCTGGGATCAGGCCTCAGTAAACTTAGAGGGTCAGAGGCTAGGCAGCTGCCTAGAGCACCACGCGGGCACCACGCGGCCACCACTGTCCCAACAGACGCTTTCTTGATCCCGAAGCTGGGCAGCTCACCTCCACCTCCCTCCTCTTCCCACAGGCAGCCCAGCCCCAGGGAGCCCCCACCCTAGTCTCTACTGGCCCTCGAGGCCTACCCTGCCCTCAGCACCCAGCCCCACACCTAGGTGGAAATTTAATGGCTGTCTTGGGGGAGGTGTCAAAGGCAGGTGTGGGGATTCCAGAAGGTTCCCTGGTGGATGCTGAGCCTTCTCTGCCCCTATCTCCCCAACCACCCCCATGCCCACTCCGAGCATTGCACTCAGACGGGGTCTGGGGCATGCTTAGGTTCACTGGCCCTGTTAAGTCCACCTGCTTCCCCAGGACCATTGCTCTTGGCCTTCAAGCATCTTGTGCTCCTATGTCCAGTCCACAGACCCCTCAGTGGGTAGAAATTGTATTTATCAGCCTATAGGCAACATGGCAAAACCCCATCTATACAAAAAAATACAAAAATTAGCCAGGCATGGTGATGCACGCCTATAGTCTCAGCTACTTGAGGGGCTGAGGCAAGAGGACTGTTCGAACCCCAGAGGTTGAAGCTGCAGAGTGAGCTATGATCACCCCACTGCCCTCCAGCCTGGGTGACAAAATGAGACCTTGTCTCAAAAAAAAAAAAAAAATGCATTTATATAGAAAGATGAATGGCTTGGCCCACTCGCCTCCAGCCCAGGGGCCGTCTCTCCTGAGAATCCCTGGGATGCCAAGTCCATCCCCAAATCCCAGCCCATGGCCATCACCAGTGGCCTCTCTTCACCTCTGCTTACCACTGTGGGTGAATCTGTGAGACCAGCCTAGTCCCCTGAAACACGAAGAGAAGCTTCCTCTAAGTTCAAACCAGGTGGAGAACTCAGGACAGGCAGCCCATCGGCCGGAGCTCTCAGAGGTGTGGGGGGAGGGAGTGTGGCCCCTCCAGCCTGGGGACAGGTGGCTAAACCCTGAAAGAATAATTTGATCTTCTGTTCCCACAAATGCCAGGAGTCCCTAGCCAAGGGGTTGGGGTGCTGTCTGCTTTCTAGCTCCAGCCTGCCAGGCATGCACAAGTCTTGAGGGGCCTTTCCTGTCCCGTGTTAAGGCTGTTTTCCTCCTCCTCTTCCCCTTCCTCAGGCCTTGGAGAAATACTGTCGGACAGAAGCTGGTTTCTCCGGGATCCAAGACGTGTACAGTAGCACCCCCAGCCACGACAACAAGCAGCAGAGCTTCTTTCTCGCGGAGACACTAAAGTGAGCAGCGTGGGCTTTTCCTAGGGATGGACAGGTGGGCGGTTGGGGGCGGGGGTCTGCAGTCCCTCCCTTCCACAGTCATGTTCTGTGGTCACAGGACGGGAGCCCAAGAGGGGTGAAGGGCTTGGGATCCAGAGGGCTGCACCCCAGGGGTGAGCCTTGGGCCAGGCCGTTTTCTTGGAGAGTGAGACTAGGCTAGAATCCAAGTTCCCTAGGGATGCACCGTGTGATACCGCTGGTTCCTTCAGTTGCCCACCTATCTCCGCAGGTTCCTTCAGTTTCTCACCTATCTCCGCAGGTTCCTTCAGTTTCTCACCTATCTCTGCAGCTTGCTTCCATTCTGGGAACTCGAGTGTAAAATGGGATAGGATTAACGATGATGATGTTGGTGCTGGTTGCTGGCATTAACTTTCCCTCCTGTAGCCTCTGCAGTGTGGGTGCTGTGCCCCCCTCAATTTCTTGCCGTGGAGGTTGGCCACCCCACTTCCTCGCTGTTCCCCAAAGCAAGCCCCTTGTGCTTTAACCGATTAGGGTGGGTCAGAATGATCTGTTCCTTCCAGTGGGGAAAAAACCCACAACCTGGAAGCTGCAGTTCTAGAGTCACAACCCCCTGTTCGTCTTAGTGCCCTAATGTGTGCTCTGAATGTAGAGTCTGCGGGCAGCAGTGAGAGCCGACTGGACTGAAGCAGCCCTCAGGCAGCCCTGCAGAGGAGATCTGGGCCATAAGGGCTCACATACAGGGCCGGGCAGGTGAAGCCGGCTGATGGCAGATGGCAGAGCCAGGGTAAACTAAGTCCTTCTGACCCCAAAGCTCAAGGCTTTTCTCTGCATCCACAGCCTCCTTCCCCAGGACTAGCACCCCCACCCTGCCGCCCACAGTTTTGAGGTTTCAGGCTTCCTGACCTTGGTCACAGGCCCATCACAAAGGCCCTGAGACTTGTTCCCGGGCCCACCCTTCTTCCCCAGGCCACTGACAGACTGTGTCTTGCTTCCCTGCCCTGCCTGGGGCACAGGTATCTCTATCTTCTGTTCTCTGAAGATGACTTGCTCTCCCTGGAAGACTGGGTGTTCAACACCGAGGCCCACCCGCTCCCGGTGAACCACTCAGACAGCTCCGGCAGGGCCTGGGGCAGACACTGACCTCATCCCCCGCCGCCGCCCTGGGGCCACCGCAGGGATGCCTTGCCTTTTCAGGATTTGGGACTGTTTTCAGAGGGACTGGGAACGAAGGCCCCATCTCGGGCAGACCCCCAGCAGATGTGTCAGACAAGCAACTTCTTTTCCTCTGTGAGGAGACAAGACTTGGAGACGCAGCAATGTAAGGCCAGGGCCATGGCCACACTGGCCCACACATTCCTTTCTACAGAGAATTTCTATGAAGCCCTCTCACTTGCCATTCCAGGGCCAAAGGACCGGAGGTTTGCAATCTGCCCCATGTATTTGATTTGCTTCCTTTTGGTTTCTCGGTTTTTGTTTTTGCTTGATTTTGTCTTTTCTCTATGGTTGAGTTTTATCACAATTATACATACAGTTTTCAGAATTACGCACTTTCTAAAATGATGTCATCCTGATAAACAAAACCCAGTGTTTGCACACATACAAAATCTTGACCCCGTTATCTATATTTTAAATGCTTTTTGCCCAACACTGACCCTGCATTCAACTATGTGTCATTTACCTTATAATTTGAGGAGGGGTTTCCCTTTGATTGGGCCTCAGTGTTACAAATCACTAGTGCTCTTTTCATTATTATTGTAATGGAAAAATCTGTGAACTAGAATAAAAGAGTTTATTGAATAAGAAATATGATTGGGCTCATTGCACATCAGTGACTCCTAGAAAAACCATTGCAATGTTACCATCAGAAAGAATAATCAGCCAGCAGTTGATTTTAGGTATAATTTAGTAAATGATTCCAACTTCTGTTACCTCCCCTGAAATCGGTCCTGATATATTCAAGAAGTGTGGGGCCAGCCCTTCAGATGCAGTTGTTTATTTACACTCAGGTTGAGATTGGGAAGAGGCCCAGGGAGGAGCAGCAACTTGCCTGAGGTCACACAGCCCAAAAAAGGCAGAGGAGAGTCTCGCCCCTGCCGTCTCCTGGCCACCCCAGTTGAGTGTCTGTCTGTTCCATCATTCAGCAGATGCTTGGTGAGTGCCTGCAATGGACCAGACACTGGGCTAGAGGCCAGGGACACCGCTGGAAGTGAGACAGTCATAAGCCCTGCAGTCTAGGGGTCAAGAGGGGAGATGGCGATGGTAAGGGAAACTGACAAGCAAGTGAAGTGACTGCAGGTCATAGGAAATGCTACAAAGGAGACAGATGGACAGCTGAGGACCTACCCTATGGGGTCAGGGAGGGCCTCTCTGGGCAGGTGACCTTCAAGCCAAGACCCAGAAGATACAAAGGAACGCAGAAGGACTATCTAGCAGAAGAACGAACCTCCCATAACCCAGCCCCCTTTCCCACCCTGCCCCCTCGATGCCCTCCCTGGGAGGGGGCCTGAAACACTGTGGCTGTTGTGCAGAGCAAGGAGTTCAGGTCCTAACACTGAAGTGACAGTGCTTCCTCCCCTGACACTTTTTTTTGTTTGTTTGTTTTGAGACCCAGAGTCTTTTTTTTTTTTTGAGATGGAGTCTCGCTCTGTTGCCCGGGCTGGAGTACAGTGACCAGATCTCAGCTCACTGCAAGCTCCGCCTCCCGGGTTTACGCCATTCTCCTGCCTCAGCCTCCCGAGTAGCTGGGACTACAGGTGCCCGCCACCTCGCCCGGCTAATTTTTTGTATTTTTTAGTAGAGACGGGGTTTCACCGTGTTTGCCAGGATGGTCTCGATCTCCTGACCTTGTGATCCGCCCGTCTCGGCCTCCCAAAGTGCTGGGATTACAGGCTTGAGCCACCGCGCCCGGCCCAGAGTCTCATTCTGTTGCCCAGGCTGGAGTGCAGTGGTGCGATCTTGGCTTACTGCCACCTCCACCTCCTGGGTTCAAGCAATTCTCCTGCCTCAGCTTCCCCAGTAGCAGGAATTATAGGTATGCGTCACCACACCCGGCTAATTTTTTGTATTTTTAGTAGAGACGAGGTTTTGCCATGTTGCCCAGGCTGGTCTTGAACCCCTGAGCTCAGGTGATCCGCCCACCTCAGTCTCCCAAAGTGCTGGGATTACAGGCATGAGCCACCACACCCAGCCCTTTCCTGGCACATTTGCAGCTTGTCAACACAGTGGAAGTCATGGGAGAATTTTGAGCCCTTCCCTGGGCTCAGCTGCTTACTCTGTTCATAAGCTTTAGTAGCTCCTGCCTGGGGCTCTGAGCCGGGTGACCTGGCTTTAAATCCCTGCTGTGTGAACTTAGGCAGGTACCTCCTCTCTCTGGGCTCTTTTCCGTCAAGCAGACAGAAAACCTCAACCCCACAAGGTTGCTGTGAGAAGTGGGAAGCTGCTGGTACCCTGGGCACAGGAAGTGCTTGTTCCTGGTTCTGGAGACTCAGGACATTCCCAGAATCTCCTTAAGCAGAGCCGCTGGGGAGTAGCCCCTCTGGCAAGTCACCATGCTCTTGACAGGCAGCATGAGACCCACCTGTGCTCACTTGAAAAAAAAAAAAAAAAGCAAACCAGGAAAACTGACTACACAAACATTGTAGAAAGATTAGAAAATAGAAGCAGAAAGAAGACGCATTGGCCATCCCACTCTCTGGGGTGAATACTGTTATATTTTCTTCTAGGCCTTTTTTTATGAATATATAGAATATCTATTTTGCCAACGTGGTATCCTACTATGCACACTGTTTTCTTATAATCTGCTTTTGCACTTAACTATATATTGTGAACCTCTTTCCATGTCAACAAATACACGTTTATCTCATCGCTGTGCGTGCTTGTGGAGTATTCCATTGTGTACTGTAGCCTACTTTGCTGATCCAAGCCCCTGTTGCCAGGCATTTGGGTTTGTGTCCATCTGGGATTTTAGTTACAAATCACAGAAACCAATTCTGTCAACTTAAGCACAGAAAGGGATTTACTGAAATGTCATGGGGTGGCTTATGGAATCTTAGGAAGGAGTAAACAGTCGAACCTCAATAAGGGCTAGAAAGGACTTGGCCAGGGACGCTTCAAGAACCAGGGAAGCCTCTCTAGGCACCGCCATCAGAAGGGCTGAATCCAAATGTTTCCAGATCCTACTGTGGCTCCTTTCCATGTGGCCTGGCCTGGGTCTCATGCCCGCCCCTAGCCAAGGGCAGGGCCAGGCATCTTGACTTGGCAGACCCCCTGAGATTACCCTGTGCAATGGGTGATGGGCTGTTCCCTAGAGAAAAACATGAGATTCATCACCAAAATAAGGGACCTGCAGGCTGCACAGGCAAAAACAGCAGGACTGTTTACAGTTTGCTTTGATTTCTTCAGTATTATACAGAGAGTTATGAAGAGCATACTTAACCATCTCCTTTTCACTTTTGTCCAATTATGTCCTCAGAATAACTTCTAGAATGTCTCTGTCTCAAAGCCACTTTGCAGTTCCCCAAGCCCCAGGCTCCCCCGCCAGGCCCGTGCGGCTGTCTCCCTCTCCTCTCCTGTCCTCTGCTGTATTGCTGGGAGGAAATTGTAAAAATGAATATTTTAAAATGTATCCTCCAGGAGGGCCCTTGCAGGTGGAGAAATATCATCCTTTTGGCAACTTAACTCTATTCCACGGATAAAAATAAGTACGACTCAAGATAGGCCGAGAGGAAAGAGGAATTAAGGGATGACTCATCCTCACTGAAGGTAGGAGAGAGCTTCACAAGCCACAGAATCTGAACACCCAAACCTCTCACTGAAGAGCCCTCTCCTTCCCCAGCTGGGGGTCAGTGCGCAGCTGCCAGGCTCATTTTAAGCCTTGTCTGTGCCCTCGCTGAGGATGGAAGTACCGATTGCACCTGCTTCCCTCATAGAAGGGCGTGATGTCGGCTCCTTCCCAGAAAGCTTCATCAACACCCAGCTCCTGGCACTGAGGTCGGCAGAGCCTCACGGCCCCGGGAAGGGGGAAGTGGGGGCACAGTCCTTTTCTACGTGCCTCCCTTTAAATGACTGGCCATTTGGTCAGACCGGCCAAAGGCGTTGGGAAGAAAAGCAAAAATGGAAAATCTGATTTAAAGGCAGCATCCAAGATGTGATTCTCAGTTCCATTCCCTCTGCTTTGAGGAGGTGACCCCACTGTGGTTTGAGAAAGTGCCAGAGATGAATGGGCCAGCTTCCCCCAGCGTTTCCCCTGGGGGCCTGTCCTTGCAAGTATGGTCATTGGTCATGTGGCACAGAGATGCTCGGCCCTCTGTGACTAATGCTTAATTACACCCTACTGGAGGAGGGGGTGCTGATTCTATTTTTCGTATCTGAAAATATCAGTTTGGTTTTCTATATTTGGAGCATGATTTTGTTCCTGCTCAGCCTGCCTGTTAAGTCGGAGCTTCTCAAACTTGAACATGCACAGGAATCACCTGGGAGCTTGTTAAAATCCAGGTTCATGTTCAGCGGCTGTAGCATGGAGCCTGAGATTCTGCCTTTTTTTTTTTTTTTTTTTTCCTGAGACAGGGTCTTGTTCTGTCACCCAGGCTGGAGTGCAGTGGGGCCATCACAGCTCACTGCAACCTCCATCTCTGGGGCTCGAGCAGTCCTTCCACCTGGCCTCCCGAATAGCTGAAACTACAGGTGTGTGCCGCCACATCCAGCAAATTGTTTTCTCTTGCTATGTTTCTCAAGTTGGTCTCAGACTCCTGGGCTCAAGCAATTCTTCCACCTTAGCCTCGCAAAGTGCTAGGATGGCAGGCATGAGCCACCGTGCCCCGCCAGATTCTGCTTTTCTTTAACAAGCTCCTGGGAGATGCTGATGCTGCCAGTCCTTGGACCCCACTTTGAGTAGCAAGACCCCAGTTGGTGGCCACTGCCTTGGTTTCTGCCTTTTCTTTGCATTCCTGGAGCTGTAACTGCTCCAGAGTGGCGTAGAGGGGCTCCGGTGTTGGGATGGCATCTATAGATACTTTGAATGCAGCGCAACCTACCTTAAAACAGGTGTGCCTACCGCCTGTGTCAACAGCTCTCCTTTCTTCAGGACAGCCAGGATAAGACAGGAGCAGGCTGCTGGTGGCTTAGAACAGTGGCGTCCAGTAGGGTCACCCCATGTGGATCTGGAATACTTAAAATGTGGCGAGTGCAATGGAGGAACTAAATTTTTAATTTCATTTCCTTTTCTTTTTTTTTTTTAATTGAGCAGAGTCTTGCTCTGTCGCCAGGCTGGAGTGCAGTGGTACAATCTCGGCTTACTGCAACTTCTGCCTCCTGGGTTCAACCGATTCTCCTGCCTCAGCCTCCCGAGTAACTGGGCTTACAGTCTCCCACCACACCCGGCTAATTTTTTGTATTTTTAGTAGAGACGAGGTTTTGCCATGTTGCCCAGGCTGGTCTTGAACCCCTGAGCTCAGGTGATCCGCGTCTCGGCCTCCCAAAGTGCTGGGATTACAAGCGTGAGCCACTGCACCCAGGCTAATTTTTGTATTTTTAGTAGAGACAGGGTTTCAGCATCTTGGCCAGGCTGGTCTTGAACTCCTGACCTCATGATCCACCCGTCTCGGCCTCCCAAAGTGCTGGGATTACAAGCGTGAGCCACTGCACCCAGCCTACACCCAGCTAATTTTTGTATTTTTAGTTTCACCTTGTTGGCCAGGATGGTCTCGATCTCCTGACTTCATGGTCCACCCACCTCAGGCTCCCAAGTGCTGGGATTACAGGTGTGAGCCACCGCGCCTGGCCAATTTCATTTCAATTGAATGTAAAGAGCTGTGCATTGCTGCTGGCTGCTGTTTTGGACAGTGCAGAATTAGAACTCAGAAAGCAACTACCCTGCTGATGCCGCGAAGACCTCCATCACCTGCACCACTACATAAATCATCTTAGCAGAAAATATATTGTTTAGGGACTCAAGGATTCCCTTGAACATACCTGGTTATTTTTATACTCATTCCAGCCTCTGTTTTCTGCACAAGCCTCTGGGTTGGGTTTGGTTTTGTGTTTTCTTACTCACGGTCTGCAGCAGGGAATGCACTGGGTAGGCTGAAGGCAAGAGAGGCACAGGGGCGTGACAGGAGAGAACCACCCGTGTCGGTTTCAGACAAGCACAGCCTTTGAAACTGGTGGACCTGTGTTCAGCTCTGCCCTGCCATTTTCCAGGGCTGTATGACCTTGGGGAAGCCCCTTAGTTAAGCTCCTCTGAGCCTCTGCTTCTCCATCCATGGAAAAGGAAAGTGGTTTCAAGGGTTAATCGAGCCTCCCCACCCCACCCCTTGTAAGAACTCAATGCATCCTAGCAGTGATTGTTATGATGTGAACCTCTTTGTAAACTATAAAACCTTGTGTAAATTTGAGGCAAAACACTGCTGTCAAAAATTCTTCTTTTTAAACAAAATGCTCTGAGACTTGGAGGAAACTGTATCAACCAGGCCCAGGAGACAGACCAAAATCTCAAAGCAATAAATCTGAACGTTTTCTGCTTTTCCCATTGAGCAAGCATTTTGCCATTAGCCCTGAATCTACAGAAATCGGGAAACCGGGATGAAGATTTGTTGACTGTCCAAGGTCTTCCAGGGACCTGTCTGGTGGGGGGGGATGCTCGGGCGGGGGCCCAGGGTTGAGGAAGATGCCGAGAGCGTGCCCAGGAATGTTTGAGGTCCAGTTAGTTTTTCCTCTTCAGGGAGTACCTGATAAATCCTGTCTACAAAACTTTGGAAGGTTGGCAGGAAAAGATGGCACCCCCATTTATAGAGGAGGGAACTGAGGCCCTAACAGGCTTGCCCAGGTCAAACAGCTGTTCCTGGTCTCTGGGCAGCCTCCACAGAGGCCACTCTACACTCCCTACTGTTCCCCATACCCTTCCTCCACCCCACCCTTGTGTATGACCCCCAAGGCTAGGATGACCATCCCACTCATGACATTTGCTTATGACAGATTTTAACCTGTTGTTCCAACATCATAAGAGTACCCCCTTTGCTCTTAAAGTGCCCCAACTTGGACAGTAAATTTTATGGCCCCCTGGTCTAAGTGAAAACAACGATAACTAAGGTGTTTTTCCCAGAAGCCTTCGGTGCTCTGAGAAATGGTAAAACTCAGCCTGGAAAAACATGCAAATATTCCAGAGATTCTTTCCTTTAGAAACCAAGCTGGAAACTCCCCATTTTCTCACACAGCTCCATGTCTCCTTGCATGCTGCTTCCTGCCTGGACTCCACCCCCAAGGTATGCCTACTAAACTCCTCTCCAGTCCTCCTGGCTGCCCTCAATGCCACCTCCTCCAGGAAGCCTTCCCTGACTTCTCCCTGCCCCTCCTTTGACATAGGCGTTAAAAACTCCTTTGACCTGGGCTCCTACACACCTAGGGCAGACCCAGATATGCATGAGCCTCTCCACCGTAGACTGACCGCTCCCCAGTCACAGGACTTTTGTCTTCTCACCTTTGTGTCCTCAGCAGGTTATAGATGAAAATAAAGGTCTGTGCTGAAGACTTGGGGATTAACCATGCACCCAGCCTCCCTCCCAGCTGCAGCTGGCTGAGAGTGGACCCACTGAACCAGGCGGGAAAAACGATGAGCGGTTTCACTGCAGGGGTTCTGTGGGTCATCCTGGTCTGGTCCATGGACTGACTGTAGATTCCAGAAAGCAAGGTGGGAAGGGAGGAGAGTTCTTTCCATTAACAGGAAGGTCCCAGAAAGATGGGGTACAAGATGGCTGGTCAAGTGGCCTTTTCTTAGTGCAGTGACCCCCTTTCCACTGGTGATTGCAATGAGATTGTCAGGAATTGCCCAGTTTTCCAATCACAAGTCCCACACCATCCTACAGAGTGTGTGGAAATGGGCCAAGCCCATTTATCCAGTGGAGAAGTCCCCAGGCTAGGGACTGAGCGGCGGTGTAGAGGAAAAGGGGTCACACACATACCCACACTCACACACACATTCACACACATGCACACACACGCTCACACATTCATACAAACATGCATAACCACACACACGTTCACTTACACACATGCACATTCATGCAAACATGCATACCCCCTACATGTTCACTTACATTTCATACACACACGTTCACTTACATGCGCACACACATTCATACACGTTCACATAAAAACACATGCACACACACACATTCATACACACGTTCACATAAACACACATGCAAAACATGCACAAATTCATATACATACGTTCACAAACATGCACACACATGCATTCATACACACGTTCACACAAACATGCACACATGCATTCATAAACACGTTCACATAAACACACATGCACACACATTCACATAAACATATACACACACATGCACATTCATATACATATTCACACATACACACCCACACACTCATATGTTCACTTAAACACATTAACACACACGTGCATTTACATAAACACATTTACATTTACACATGCACATTTACACACACATTCACACGTACACATTCACAATACACGTTCAAACACATTCACACACACACGTTAACATACACTCACATGCATATTCATACACACATATATTCACATATACACACATTCACACGAGTTCAAACACGTACACATTCACGCACACACACGTTCACATAAACACACATGCACATTCATACACATGCACATTCATACCAACGCATACACACACACGTTCACACACATGCACTTTCATACACACGCATTCACATAAACACATTCACTCACATGCACTTTCATACACACACATTCACACACATGCACTTTTATACATTCACACCTACATATATATTCACGTTCATATGCACACACATACATTCACATACATATGTTCACACACACATTCACACATACACATGCACATTCATACACACACGTTCACACATACATACAAGCACATTCACATACACACATATTTGCACACACATACACACATTCACACCTTGACTTTCCTCTCTAAGCCTGTGGATTTCCTGGCCAAGCTTGCAGTCATCAGGGGTTGGGGGTGGCTGTCTCTCGGGGGCACCGGCTGCATATCCAGATGGTCCTGTCCTGACTCTCTGGAGGCCCCTCATCAGCTGGGCACTTGTTACTCCCTTGGGACTTCCCTGGAGCCCTGGGGTAGGAAGCTCTGCTTTCACCCACAAAATGATCCAGAACCAGGCAATAATTCCATCAGCGGTTCTCAGAGTGTGGAGCCTGCAGCCAGCCCCAGCAGCACCTGGGAGCTTGTTGGGAATGCAGATTCTCAGGCCCCAAGGAGCTGAATCAGCAGCTCTGGGGCAGCCCAGCAGTCAGTGTCTTTGGCAAGCCCTCCAGGTGATTCTGATGCAGCTGCAATGTGGGTCATCTCCCAAGTCCCCTGTTCCCCACAGCAAACCCCTCCCTGAGCCTGTTACCCCCCTTACTTACTACAGCCTCTCTATCCCCTGGTGGGTCAGCAGATAATTCTGCAATGATCCAGGTAAGAAAAAGAAAACTGTCCCACCTTTGACCAACAGGAACACCCTCTAATCACGTAATCTTCCACTCAAAAAAAATG